GGTTTGAACTTGTGATGCTCCCACCTCAGCCTTCCAAAGTGTGTGCCACTATGTCCAGCTTATTTCATTCAATTTCAAATAAAGAAATAATGGTGTGCTTTGTGAATTTTAAATGACATTCATATTGAAGAGGTTATCACAACCGTTTGTATGAAACTATCTCATGAAATGATAACAGGAATTTTGAAAAATTCTTGCCTATTTAAATTGCATTCCTCAATGCAATTTTGGAGACCAAATTTCTTCTCTGTGGGTCTTCCAAGGACTCACATTATTTTGGTATCCAAAGTGTTCCAGTCAGACCTAGCAGCAGACATCAGAAAGTCCACAGTTTGTGTTTTCTAGTACTCAGTACAGCAGATGCCATGTTCACTAATCCCTTAGGTGCAACAGTTGAAAAAAATTCACTGCTAAGATATATAATTAGAAAAATTTTAGCTAGTTGCATGCCCACAAATATATGTTCCATTGCAGCAGTGAAAAGCAGCAACACAATTACACAAGAAACCCTGAAGCAAAACAACGCAGGGACACACAGAGCAAGGTGTACTTACTTAAGAGAGCCTGACAGCTTGGGCTGCTGAAGAAGTTTATCTGCATGATTCAAAGCCATCAGGTTATCACCCAGAGCCAGGGCCACGTACGCGCTGCAAGCCAGTATGGAGCATCTGAAACATGAAGGTTAGTAGCTGAAAACTTAAAAATGGACAGTGGTTATGTCTGCTGAGTGGGAAGGAAAGCCCTACTCACAGGAGTGGCAAGCTGGACACCAGGAAAGAAGAGGGGAATGGTAAAAAAACATGATAAACACATCCTGCTGGGTGTGGTGGTGCACTCCTGTAATCCCAGCACTCGGGTGGCTGAGGCAGGAGAATCGTTGTGAGTTTGAGGCCAGTCTGGGCTATAACTCAAGACCAGCCTGAACTGCATAGCGAGACCCTGTCTCAAAAAAAAAAAAAACAAAACACCCAAACCAAACCAAAACCAAACCAAACAGAAAACACCAAAAAAACCAGTAAAAACAAAAAAACCGAGAAACAAAAAACTTAGATTACAACAAAACACCAAACCACTATGTGCGGCATTTTAGTCAGTTAGATAAATCTTCTTTAGTTTCTGTCCAAAACATGACCAAATGAAGTTACTGCAGAATCACTGAGCTTAGCTCACTATACAGTGCCTCTCTCCTCCTATTAAGGTGTCTGTAGTTACTGATAAGCAACAACATCAAGGGGTAACTTTAGGCTGGAGAGTCATAGCAGCGGAGTGCTTACCTGGCACAGGCAAGGTCTTGTCTTGGATCCTTTGCAACACACACACACAACTCAATCTACAGCTGGGCAACAGCACATGTCTTTAATCCCAACATTCTGGGAAGCTGAGGCAAGAGAATTTCAAGTTCCAGCCCAGTCTGTGCAAGTTAGTGACTTAGTGAGACTCTGTCTCAGAATAAAAAAAGGCTAGGGAGGTAGCTTACTATGAAGGCACTGAGTTCAATCCCAGGACCAGAGGGAAAAAAATCCAAACTTACTGTTACTTCAAATGAATACTGAAGGGAAAAAACCAGGTTGAAAAAATGTACATGAAGATAAAAATCTAAGTTATATAGATTTTGCTAAGTTGGGTGCAAACCTAAGTTTGTTCAGTTTCAGTTTTCTGAAACTGAAGCTCAGTTCCTTTAGAACAGGCCTAGCTCTGGGAGCAGTGGTGCACGCCTGTCACCCTGCCTACAGGCTGCCGGAGTCAGAAAAGTCTCCTCTAAAGGAAACACAGGCGCTCAACTCCTAACGGCACAGAAAAGTACACAGCTCCTAGAGAAGGCATAGGGACACTGAACTGAGGCTTACTGCTTTGCCTAGCAAGGCAGATGCAAAAGACTGCCCAGTGCGGTTTGTTAGTCAGTGTGGAGCCTGAGATCCAAAGTGGTCAGACAGATTCTCTACATCTGCACTGCAGACTCCCAGCCTGCTGCTCTCTGCACCCCATGACTCTGCTTCTGATCAAGTCACAACACTGCCCAAGATGCCCTGCAATATAGATGAAGTTTACATTATGACTTCTAGGCATTTATAACTGGTTTTTTTTCTTAGAGACAGAAGAAAAAACAAGAAAAAGGACTAGATGATTTAATTTCTCCTTTTGGCTTATTTTCATTTGATTTTTTTTTTTTTTTTTTTTTTTTTTTGTATCGGGTGCTGGCCAGGCAGGTGCTGTGCTGCTGAGCTATACCCCTGGCCCCAGTTTTCATTTTTATTTTCTTGCCTTTTTGAGACAGGGTCTCGCTATGCAGTTCAGGCTAACCTTGAGCTCACTTTGTAGCCCAGGCCAATCTTGAACTCACAGCAATCCTCCTGACTCAACCTCCGGAGTGCTGGGATTACAGGTGTGAGCCACTACAGCCCGGCCAGTTTTTATTTTAAAATGGCAACATACATTCATTTATTTAAGAAGTATGTAAATATCTACCACATGTCAGGTATGTGTTGCTTCTGAGGTGGGAAAAAGCCACTTAAAAGCCTAGCCCATCATCAATCAGCTCAGGGCCTGCATGCAGGGCAGTCACAATGTGTGCTATCTGTTTTCATGCGAGACTGCTAAGGGGAATGGCAAAAAATGAGCTCATTAACAGCATGGACAGGCCGGGTATGATGGCGCATGCCTGTAATCCCAGCACTCGGGAAGCTAAGGCAGGAGGATCGTTGTGAGTTCAACACCAGCCTGGGCTACAAAGTGAGGTCAAGGCCAGCCTGAACTGCATAGCGAGACCCTGTCCCCCCCCCCAAAAAAAAAGCAGGGATACACAATGTTTATTTTCTACACTTAAAGTCATTTCTGGGACCAGAGATATAGCTCAGTGGTGCAGCATCGTCTGGCAGGTGTAAGGTGCTGAGTTCAACTCCCAGTACCCCAAAAAACGCACGTCATTTCTTACTGCCTCACAGTGGGTGCTTAAGACGCACCTGCTAAAGAAGATGAGCTTCACCCTCACACTGGGTTCTGCAGGGACCCAGTCGACACCTTTCCTGCTGCAGATGATGCCGAGGAAGCAACACCCCAGGCCCTTGCAGCCAGGGAACTGTTTCTGTGAGCTCTGGGCCCTGGACAGGCTCCACATCAGCAGCCTGCTGGGAAAAGCCTATCCTGGCCTCTCCTGACAGTTGGTGGGTGTCACTGCTCCAGCCTACTGCCAAGCCCACTGTGGCTTGAGAAATCAGTCACGTACCTACAATCTGCAACAGGATACTGTTTCCCAGCTAGGTCAAACTATAATTACATACATGAAGGCAAAAACACGTTTTTGTTAACCTCTATAAAATAGCATATTGACCATTCAAAAATAAAGCAGAAAGGGGCTGGGGATTTAGCTCAGCGGCAAAGTGCCTGCCTGGCAAGCGCAAGGTCGTGAGTTCGGTTCCCGGTACCGGAGAAAAACCAAAAAAAAAAAAAAAAAAAAAAAAAAAAAAAAAAAAAAAAAAAAGCAGAAGTACACCCACAACCTTATCAACACCAAAGAAATATCTAAACAATGAAGTGGAAGACTAAATAAGATATGGACATTAGAATGTTTACTACTACTCTTTGAGAAACTAACAACTGCAAGAGAAAGATGCCAGCAAATATTTCCAGCCAGCTGTGAGCCCAGGAATGCCTGTACAGGACAGGAGGATGTCCTCCCCAATTTCAGCTACCACTAGGTTTATATTTTTTCCTGTTTTGGTGTTTGAAAGAAGAAATATTAATACCACACAGGGAGAACCCCAACCAAAGAAATCTGAAATTGTTATATAGTAAATGCTATTTTTCTTTTTTTGTTCATTTTGGATGCTGGTGCTAAATTAGTAAGTGTCATGATTAAAAAAAAAGTTTGTCATTTTTTTTTAGGATGGGGGAGGACATTTTTGCTTTCTTTTGTAACTCTCTTTAAAAACATTTTGGGGTCTGGAAGTGTAGGTCAGTGGTAAGGCACTTACTTAGCATGTACAGGGCTGTGGGCTCAATCCCCAACACTGCAGAAAACAGAACAAGCAAGCGAAGAAAACAAGCCAGGCATGGCCTCACACGCCTGTAATCCCAGCACGTGGAGTCTGAGGGGGGAGGTTCTGGGGTTAGAAGCCAGCCTGCACTACATAGTGGGACCCCGTCTCAAAAACAAAACAAAACAAAACAAAGCACCCCCACCAACAAAAACCCACCACCACTACCACCACCAAAAACCCCCCAAATAAAACAAAAGTAACTTTGGGGTTGGCATTCTAATCAAGGGACATTAGGACTAAGCAAGTTTCAGTGCTAAATTCACCTCATCATTCATGTTCCCCCTTTCTTGATGCTTTTTAATCTATCCCAAGTCTCTCACACCCTCTCACATGCAGCCTCTTCCTCCTAGAACATAACAATAATCCTCGAGACCGGGAAATGCACATGGCTAGAAATGCACATGGCTCTATCTGCTGAACTCCTGAAGAAATCACGTCACTTTTGATCATTACTGCTTAAAGTATACCCCCTCCCCAACACACACACACTACTCGAGGCACCGTGCAATCTGCTTTCCCAGCCACTCAGGAGTTCTGACAGTTCAGCAGACAGAACTCTCCTCAAGGGAAGAGACACACAAGCTTCTGCACTGTGGAGAACCCTGCAAAACCCTACTCTTCCCTCCTAGGTCCTCAGACACTAACCTCTGAAAAGGAAAGAGAGAAAGGAAAGGGAACTGCTTTTTCTTTGTCCTTTCAGTTCTAAATCATAACTACGCAAGATAAGGTATTAAAATTTGTCAAGCCCTGCAACCCGAGTTAAATTCATCTAATCCAAATATCTGAAATACTAACCCTTATTATAACAAGCTAGAATGGTTAAAATCTAGTCAGTCACCATTTGTCAAAGGAAAATAAATTTGCAGTGAAATCTCATAGCATATATTATTTGAAAAATGGCTAAATATTTAATAATGTAATTTCTTTTAACAAACTGAAGAGAGTACTGGATTTTAAAATTAAAAAACAAAAACAAAACACCCCAATTTTATTTGATTTATCTACAATCCAGAAAAAAAGTTAAACCTGTCAATTTTTGTTGGGTGTGGTAGTGTCTCTATAAATCTCAGCAATTGGGAGGCTGAGGCAGGAGATCTTGAGTTTGAGGCCAGCCTGGGCTACAAAACAAGTTCAAGTCCAGCTTGAGGTACATAGTAAGCTCCTGTCTCCGTTTGTTACTGCTACAGTTTTCCCCCAGAGTACAAGTATATCCATTACTAGCAGAGAAGGGCTTGCCATGAAAGTGCTTGTGAGAAGTATTAAGTTCTAGCACCTCCTTCCAGAGGAAGGGACAAGTCAAGTGTGGACAGTGTTATGTGGGGAGAAGTTATTAAGGTAAGTGATGCACTCCGTATGGCTCTCCTGCAGCTTCTTGTTCACCTCTATTTGATTCAAGCTCCAACCTTTACCGAAACGCTGACCAAGTCTTCATTCCTTGTGTGACAGCCTTCTGAATGGCTGAAGTTACTATATTTTCAGATTAAGATACTCCTTGATCATTTACTTTGCGTTTGTTCAATTAACAGAAAAAGCAAAGAAAAATGTTGATGTTTCAAAGAACATCTTCAAAACATCGAAAACTTACAGAACGGAAGAAAACACTCATGAGTGACAACGCCTCCGAGACTGGCAGGATGTGCCCAAAAGGTCTGTGTTCAGAAGCACGGTTTTGGGCCGGGGAGACAGCTCAGCGGTGTGGCTCTTGAGCTCAAGTTCAGCACCAAAAAAAAAAAAGCAGCAGACTGTTGTGAAGGTAGAGGGGCCACTGCACCGCCCGCGCTAAGCGCGCTGCGGGGGCAGTGCTCAGTGGAGGGGTGATGGGTGAGTGGGGGCGGCCTCCGGCTCTGGCTCCTTTCTCTTTCCGCTTCCCCGCTGCCATCTCAGGCTCGGAGCCGGGGAACCTGAGGGCTCTGCATCGTGCCCATCCCCCACGAGGCGCGGGGTCAAGTACTCGGTACCGGCGAGGGACACCTGACACAGGGCCCTATCTAGGGCGCAGGGAGAAGGCCGAAGTCAGGCGGAGGAAGGGCGGGCGCGCAGCCCTCGCTTAGCGTGCAGGAAGCCCTGGGTCCGCCGAGTCACAGAGCCGTTATGAAACCCGGAGAAGTATTTCAGTCAGTGCTTTCCGAGAAATACGTAAGCACACAAAACTGCTTACTACAAAACTTCCGGAAAATGCCCATCCAGGCCAGTGGCGCACCCTTTCCCTCCCTGGCTCCGGGCGAAGTCACTCGGACCTCTGGATCCCGAGGGATGCGCGGACACAGGGCATCGCGCCCAACAACTCCGAGGCCTGAAACCCGCTTGCTGGAACGGGTTATTCCCTGCCGCGGCGCAGGCGCAACGGGGCGAGGGGGCCCGCAGCGGAGATCCACCCCTGCACGCCCGCCGCCTGGCCACGCGCCCGCGCAGCGCCCACTGCGTGCTCTCTGGCAGCCGCCATCGGCAGGGCCAGTGCAGTCCTTTGGGCAGGAAGCCTGGACCGTGGAGAGGGGGTACATGCCCCACCAGAGTGCCCACATGGCCATTTGGGCTTCGTGTTTTTTTTAAATTTTATTTTTTTGTGTGTGTTTTACTTTTTTGAGACAGCGTCTATGTACTTTAGGCTGGCCTCAAACTTAAAGTGATCTTGCCTCAGCCTCCCCAGCCCTGGAATGACAAGCACAAGACGTCATGCCTGGCTCTTGAGTGTATAGTCGGAGCAAATCTGATTATGTGCTCTACAAGCAATCTCAAACTCGTAAAATACAGAATATTTTCTTTTTTGGGGGGATGGGAGTTTGAGACAGGGTCTTGCTATGCAGTTCAGGCTGACCTTGAACTTACTGTGTAGCCCAGGCTGGCCTGGAACTCACTAAGATTCTTTTACCTCAGCCTCCCCAGTGCTGGGATTACAGGCCTGCACCACCACACCTAGCTAAATTTTTTTTTGTAAGCCGTGACAAAGTTTACTGGAGAAAGTAAAAGCGAAGTGTGAGGAAGAAACTGGCTTTGCAGAGAAAGGGTCACCTTAAAGTCACAGCATTTATCTCACTGTAGATTTCAAAGTAGGCCCATGGGCAAATTTTCCAACTGAATGAAATGAGTGGCTCTCTGCAGATTTGAGTACTTCAGGAACCAAGGCAATATTCTAGTGTGTGTGTGTCTGTCTGCCCATCCATCCATCCATCCATCCATCCATCCATCCATCCATCCATCCCTTTCCTGACCCATGGTTTTATTTTACTTTCTGCTGTGCAGGAGTTTGAGCCCAGGACCTTCAGCATGCCAGGCAAACCTTCTACCATTGAGCTGTATCTCTAGCCCTGATTTGTGTGATATTAACATCTCTTAAATTCATCTGAGCCTTACAGTTAAAATGTTTAGTTGATTTCTGGGACATTTTCCCAATTTGGGGACAAATTTTTGTTTTAAATGTGAGAATATTTTAAAAGCTACACTGATTTTAACAAAGATTCCACACTGCTTCAACAGTCTCCTGGTCAAGTATGGTGGTATACGCTTGTAATCCCAGCACTCAGAAGGCTGAGGCAGGACAATCACTGTGAGTTCGAGGCCAGCCTGGGTGACAAAGTGAGCTCAAGGCCAGCCTTAACTGCACAGCAAGACCCTGTCTCAAAAAGACAAAAAAAAAGTTATGTTAGAAATTGGAAAACAGGGCTTTGTATTGGTGTCTTGGGTATTACAGCACAGAGGGTTAAACTCTAACTGCCCATAAAAACTAAACTTTACACTAATCACACATATTTTCAATCACATAAAAAATTTAGGGGGCTGGGGATTTAGCTCAGAGGCATAGCACCTGCCTGGCAAGTGTAAGGTTGTGAGTTCGATTCCCGATACCAGGAAAAAAAAACAAAAAAAAAAACCAAAAAACAAACAACAACAAAAATTTAGGTCAGAAATAGATGAAACCTCTAAGAATTCCATAATCTTACTAAGAACCAATATGCTCAGACTCAGCTGGCTCCTGTATTACACTTCCCTTTAACATTGCATTGGGAGCTTTCTCTCTCTCTCTTTCATCTTTTTGAGACAAGGTCTCATTATGCAGTTTAGGCTGGACTTGAACTCACTTTGTAGCCCAGGCTAGCCTTGAACTCACAGTGATTCTCCTGCCTCAGCCTCCCTTGGGCTAGGATTACACGCATGTACTACCATGCCTGGCCATGCATTGTTAAAACTATGACACAAATCTTTTAGGACTTCTTCCTTTAGCCATTTGCCTCCACGTCTCCACTGCTACTGCCTTACACAGTAATCCTGGTCTGTGTATCTACCTTAAGGTTCCTTCTGTCTTGTTCCATTTCCTTTCTCCCATCTGCTTCAATAAGAAAAAAAAAAAAGGTTAATACATACCAGAGAACCCATCTTTGTCTTGTTTTATGACGTGGAATTTTCCTGTATCATAAAAGGACACCCTTTCTCCTTTTCCACCCTTAGAATAAGAGAACTAATTTTATTTTCTCTGGAAATTTCTCACTAGTAGTACTCATGGGCTCTCTGAGAACCTCCCCTCCTGGGTGTCCTTTGCCTCAATGTGACACTTAGAAGGCAAAGTTAAATTACACAACTCTGCAGATGTTCAATTACTATGGGATAAAATTTTTCTTAAACTGTATGGGTAAATAAAGCAAGAATAAGATTAATACTCATTCAAATCAACCTGTAGAAATTAAGACAATTTTTTTTTTTTGTCTTTCTGAGACAGTTTCACTATGCAGTTTAGGCTGGTCTTGAACTCACTTTGTAGCCCAGGCTGGCCTCAAACTCTCAGTGATCCTCCTGCCTCAGTCTCCCAGAGTGCTAGGATTACAGATGTGTGCTACCATACTCAGATTCCCAGCTTGCTTTCTTTCTCTAGCTTTCTCACTCTTTTTCTTTCCTACCATTCTTTATTTTATTTAACTTTAGTTATTTTTGAGACAAGGTCTCGCTATGTAGTTCAGGCTGGATTTGAATTCACTATGTAGCCCAGGCTGGCCTCAAACTCAGTGATCCTCCCGCCTCAACCTCCTGAGTGCTGGGATCACAGGTGTGTGCCACAACGCCTGGCCAAGGCAAATCTGAAAAACATTTTTTTCATTACTTTCTTCATTAAGGATTTGCCTTACATGGACATAATAATGATCATAGCATTATTTGTAACAGTAAAAGCTGAAAACATTATAAACCACTAACCATAAAACAATGTTTAATAAATCATTCCATATAATGAAACTCTATGAAGCCAAGAGAAAGAAATAGAGCTACACACTGACACAGAACAATCTCTGAAGATTTATTGCTGGGGGCTGGGGATTTAGCTCAGCGGCATAGTGCCTGCCCGGCAAGCGCAACATTGTGAGTTCAATCCCCGGTACCGGGGGGAAAAAAGAAAAAAAACAAAAAAAAGATTTATTGTCAAACAGGAAGGTATGGAGCAGCAAGGACACTACAAACTTGCTGATGTAAAACAGCACTATATACCCATATACTGGGATACTAATGGGAAATGTCAGTGGAGAGACATAAAAGAAACCACTCCTGGGGCTGGGCATGGTGGCACACCTCTGTAATCCCAGCACTCTGGGTGGCTGAGGCAGGAGAAATGCAAGTTTGAGACCAACTTGGGTTTCTTGGCAACTTAGCAAGACCCCATCTCAAAACAAAAAAATTGGGAGCGCAGTGCAAAGGCCCTGGGTTTAATTCCTAGCACCACAAACAACCAAACTACCAAAAAACCACCCAGCCAATGCTCCTTGGTAGAAAGGAGACGAGACAGGATAAGACTTACTTCACATTACTGTATTTGGATTTTTACCATCTAAAAAAAATAAAAATGGATGACCTTTTTGTTTGTGGTGCTGTGACTTGAACTCAGGACCTTGCTCTTGCCGGTAGGTGCTATACCACTGAGCTATAATCCCTGGCCCCTAAACGACCATTTTTTAAAGATGTATTTGAGATGCTGGGATTCAACCAGGGTCTCAAGCATGCTAAGGTGTGCTCTTTCCCACTGAGCTATACCCTAGGCTGTACAAAAACCTTTACAGAGTATAAAATGTTGCTGGTTTCATAAACAGAGACACTTGCACAAAACATCAGATATGTTGGGGGTGCAGAGTACTTTTTTTTTTTTGAGACAGGGTCTTGCTGTATAGTTCAGGCTGCCTCTCAACTAACTATGTAGCCCAGGCTGTCTGGGAACTTGTGGCAATCCTCCTGTCTCAGCCTCCCGAGTGCTGAGATTACAGGAGTGTGCCACCACCCTTGGCTGTGAAAAGAACTCTTTATGACAAAGCATTTATAATCCATATCATTCTCCCAAGCTTACTGTATTACTCCAAACCTAGGTTTGCTTTACTTCTTTTTTTAAAATTACCACTCAGGACAAAATCTAGCACTAGATTTATTTTAGTTATATGGTTGGAATTTGACTGCTATTCAGTTATGGAGCACTAGTGGGGAATGAACCCACCACCTTCCCCAGCCCTTTATTTTTTATTTTGAGACAAGGTCTTGGTATCATTAAGTTGCCCAGGCTGGGTTCAAATTTGGGAATCCTCTTGCCTCAGCCTCCCAGAATACTGGGATTACAGTGCTTTTTGTTTTCTAGTCCTGCTTTCTTCAGCCTTTTTCTGTTTGTGACAGCTGCTCAGCTTATT